TTAATATGTAATGTTTGGGGTTTGGAGGGGTGAACTGCTTTCTTGAGGTTTTATGTTTGTTTGGGTTTTGGTCACCAGCTCTACTAATGTTCTCTGAGAATTCTGCTACACTAGTAGGGTGTGACCAAGCCCAAAGTCTGTTTACAGAGTACACAAGGAGTGTTCATCCAAAAGTGGTAAAAATTATAATTAATTTTACCCCAGCAGAGCTGCTTTCTTGTTTTCTCAACTTTAACAGATAATTCCTAAAAATTATTCATCTATTCCTAAATTTTAGTAATTTTAAACATTTTGATCATTTAACAGTTTTAATCAAAACTGCCACTGAATTCAGGGAGGCCAGATCAGGCACAAAAAAAAGTTTTGACTTTAACCAATTTTTTAAGTGACACTATATGATGCTAGAATAAATGAACCATTACATCAGTGTCTCTGCCTATTAAAAAACCCAAAAAAGTTTGTCTTAGAAAATGAGTGAGGACCCTGAGCAGTCAGAAGTGAGCATTTAATCACTGGAGAATCTGAGTTCAATTCCAGGACAGAGCAGAAGGGCTGCTCAGAACCAGGTAGCTCAAATTATAGCACTTTGGGCACAGATGTATCTATAACCCCTCTCCAGTGACCCTAATGTAAGTATAAGTGTATTTACTTTCTTTCATTTTGGTCAATCTAAATGACAAACTCCTAGAATCTTCAGGTACTTTCAGATCCAGCTCCTGTTGATCCAGGAATTGATCCTAAGATGACTGGTCTTGTTAATCCATTTCCAGCCTCATTTCCTCCACTAGTTTGTGTACTGTAGATTACTATTTCTTGGTTTCCACTGGTCAGATTAATCATGTGACTTCTTTTCACCTATCCCTATGAAATCAAGCTTGAGGGGATTTTTGAGTGGGTTTGTTTTTTGGTTTTGTTGTTATTTTGTGGTAGACTTCATATGTTACAATCTTCAGCAACCATGAGCTATCAAGTGCTAGAGATAAGGCCTGATTAAGGCAAAAATGGCTTTTAGTATAATCAGGGTTAACAGCACTCCCTCTTAGAATGCAGAAATGGAAAAAGAGTTATTCTCTGTGGCCAGCAGCCTGGGCATGAGGAAGGAAGTCATCAAGGCGAGCTCTTTCCTCACTTAAGGAGATATTATACAAAACATTAAACCCAATGAGGGTATCTGTCAAAATCTAAGAGACTTCATCTCTGCTGTTATCCACCTTCCATTATGGAGTAATTTGACACTAATTGCAAAAATGATTTAATTTAGCTAATCTTCAAAAAATACTGTTAGAAAATTAAAATTAATGGCCAGGATAAAATCCAAGTATTCTACCTGAATAAAAGCTTGGACATGAAAGGCCTGATGCAGAAAGCTTAGACAGAAATTACCTCGAAAATTGCATTTAATACATGAAGCAACAGAGAGCTAAAAATAAATTTAAAGAACATGACAGGTATCAGTGGAGGAAAAGTCAAAGTTGTGTACCAATGGAGAAGGATGGCAAAAATCAAATTTGGAGCATTTTAATGCTAAAAAGAACTTCGGTGCTCTATTTTTTTAGACCTAAAAAACCTCAAGAAATTACACATTTTTAATCCCACACTTTTAGTTATTCACACAGCAGAACCCAGTAAATCAAGAACTTATTAACTATGTACTGGACAAACCAGAGAATGTGATTTTTAGAAGTAGTTTTATAGTTCAAAAGTCAAATTTGTACCAGCAAACTAATCACAGCTTTGTGATGTTCTTCCAAATTCCTGTTTCTGATAAAGGCACTGTGTAACATGATGGATTCTCATTTGTAGCAGATGGCACAAGTCCCTGAAGAATCATGTGCCAGCTGTTCATGGGCAGAACACAACACACTCCAAGCACACTTGCTCTTTCCTCTCACAGCCTTGCTGTGCTGGCACTGGGGCTGCTGAGCATTCAGAGCAGCAGAACCTGTGTGTCACGGGCTCTCTGTGTAGCACATGAGTGATGGATGACAGCTCCATACTTCATGCTTCTACTATGAGTTTGTTCCCCTGCATTGCTTTCCCCTGTTAAGTTTGGCCTAGACAGGCCTGCCTTGTTCAGGGGTCGGAAGGGAAATGTTCTCCAGCACACACAGAGTATGATTTCCTTCCTTCTGTTTGCATTAAATGAAGGGGTGCCATTCCAACATCTTCCCAGTGCCACCAGACTTGCCTTGGAAGTGGGAAACTTGCCTTGTGTGTGGGAAACGCAACTGTCCCAGCCTGCCTCCCTTGTGCTCTTGTGTGCCTGTTTAATGTGATCAGCAAAGTGTACAGCTTGCAAGGGAGAATAAGGCTGATTCTAGCACATGGTTAATTAAGACATTACAGTTAGCTATTTGCTAGGCAGGCTCAGGGGAGTAGTAATAGGATATGGAGTCTTTCACCTTAAGTTCAGTCATTCTTACCCCCATATTCCCAGGTAGTGATCAGTAATTTCTCATTAACCCTGACACAAGCTGAATCCAATTCCACTCAGGCATGTGGATGAGTTCTGAGCACGTGTCTGCCAACAAGGAGTGTCAGTATCTCTGGTAATTAAACTTCAAAGTGAAGAACCCCACTGCTGTAAGTGAGCAGCAGAAGTTGATGTATCCCTGTGGCATTATTTTAACTCCTCTGTTGTTATTGTCTCCAAACTCAACAGCTATCAAAAGCTGTCATCATATCAGCAGATACAGATTTAGGTTTTGAAGGCTACAAATTGACTATTGTTCTTAGATTCTCCAGCGAGACAAACAATTAGTAGTAATACTACATAAAAGTTGGGAAAACATAGTTTAAAAAATATCCAACACAACTAAATTATAATGCATCTCCAAGAGATCCCCTAATTTCATGATCCTACCTGCACTGCCAAGAATGTAAAGAATCATTGGCTCTTGACATAATTTTCTTGCCAAAGGGCAATTACCTATTCTGTATGCATTGCCTTAATCATGTCAAGTTGTGTCCCATAAATTTACATTTCTCCCAAGGAAGCACTGTGCATTGCCAGCAGCCTGATAGGCCAGATCAAAACAATTTCCTGGTGTGTGTTTACATCAGCTTTTGGCTTCTGAGCTGCTTTAGCTGTAGTTGCTCTGCAGAACAGCAAAAATTCACTCTCTGAACTAAGCTGCATCAGAGATAGAGGGGGGAGTAGCAGAATCTGGATGGATGGTCCTTCCCAGAACCAAGCAATGCTTTCTAGATTAATGAACTGCAAATCAGTTACACAAATGAAACCACATGCTAGAGATAAACACAGTCCTCTGAGATGGGCTTGTTGTCACAGTCAGAGAGGGAGAAGGAGAGAGAGCACACACGCGTGTGACTAGGGGCGTAATGAATGCCAGCTTCCCTCCTGCCTCTCTGGGATATGTGAGAATGACAAACTCTCTGAGGAACAATTCCTTTGACTGGTTCGTTGAGGAAAGGAAACTTGTCATGCTGCCAAGAATAAAACTGCTCCTGGGCTTAGTTTTGAATTTTATAAAGTGAATAAGTGAAAAATGTATACACATTCACTTCAGACCCAAGTCATGAATAATTAAAAGAATATATAATTGTACCCAGTTTTCCCCTCAAGCTCAACCAGCAAGGATGTCTTCTGTCCATGTAACAGGGCATTTCATGTGTTCTGTGTTTTTTTCCAGGAGCTGCTGGAAGTGAGTTGAACTGAATGCATCCTGCATGCAGGTAGGAATTACATACTGACCATCGGAGTACACATAAAAACACGAACTCAACTGTTTTGTATCAAGGAAGCTGCAGAATTTTGATTATGCATAAATATTTTCCTGGTATGAGTCATCCACAATTGATACTGGATTTAGACCAGAATATGATAAAATTTATAATATTAAGACAGCCTTATTGTAGACATTAATACTGTAAATTACAAAGATTAGATATTTTTATAAGGCACAGGAAGGTAAGAATGTTTACCATGTCAAAAATAACTTTTGTTTTCTGAGGTTATTTTCTGCATATTTATCTGTATCTATCTCCCTCTTCTGAGACAGGCACACTTCCCAGTACAAATTTAGGAATGCTGAATTAACAGTATAAAACCACACATTGGTCTGCAATTCTACTGCTATACTGGAATTATCTAGTGGTACCTACCTGGAAGGAGATGCAAGAGATCTATTGCTTTTATTTTTCTGCATTATTCCCACAATTTATTCCCAGTTTTCAGCCAAAACGAAATTCAGGATTAATATTCACTTTTCTCTTGATGGCATAGAAGTTGGCAAGTATGGTATGAACAGCCATGTATTTAGTACCTTTCACTTGCAATACAGAAATCTTATTTAAAGACTAATGAAAAATATTAACAAATTCTGTAAACAAAACAATCATTATACATTCCCTCCCTTCCAAACACAGACAGGAAGTTTCTCATGGGTAGCAAGCTGGCTCTTGCTTCCTCTGATACCAGTATGGCTGTTTGTAGGCAACACACTGTGATGCTCTCTGATAGAGAAAAAGATATAAAACGCCTTGAAAATCATACACAGAGGGGATCAGTAGATTGTATGTAGGTAATAGCTATGTTCTTGAAACAGCAAATGTGTGGGATTTTGTTTGACTCTTAGAAGGAAGCACATTTTGTACTTCTGCAGCTGAATTCCAAACACAAGTTCTTCATGTAGACCTGACTTAGAACTTGGCTTCTTTTCAACAACGGTGCATTTATTCGGAAAAAGACAAAACACCAGAGGGGTGTGTTAGGGGATGTGAAGCAAAAGTCTGCTTAAAAACTAATTCACTACAGCATCATGAGCTGTACCTGAAGTTGGTCAGGAAGCTTGGGAAGGGAGAACACAGGGACACAGACTGTGTGAGAGTCACTTTCAGATCAGTAACTTACCTCATGATATGCAAAGACTGTGCGACTCAGCTATCATTGCAGTGGGACAACTGTGTGCAACAGAATGGCTTTAAAGAGGAGGTGATAGAAATATCAGAAGTGAAGCAGAATGTTATAGAGCACCTACCTCTTATCCACATATCTGGAAACTGCTACTCTGTAACATGTTGATCTTTAAGTTTCATCTCACTGTTGTCCAAGGCAGGAGCCAAATTATTTTTATGAACTACAAAAGAAAGTAAACTACAACCAAAAATCTTACCATCCAAAAAGGGCAAAATAAAGTTGCAAAAAACCCCATACTAAAGTATATGGATTTCCTGTATAGGTAAAATGGCAAGGAGGAATTCTGTACAAATGCAGTCTCCACATCCACCCCTACTGGGACAGACTTTCCACTTAATGTTTTCAAGCTCCAACATTTCTGAGCTGCTGCTTGAACCAACTTGAAAGGGAGGCATTTCCCATCTAGTTGATGGGGGGGTTTAGATTACTAGAAAATGTTTTTTCTAGTAATGTGAAATTACTAGAATGTAAAATGTGAAAGGACTGTAAAAAGGGGGAATGTTTTGTATTCCACTACTTTTGATGACATATTTCTATGTAAAGGTTAATTGTCAATTATGTCAGACCTTGAAATTGTGTAACAGTTGATTTTCCCCATGCACAGGACAAAATACATACAACAGTACATTATTCCTTCAAGACTGTTCTCTTTGGTAATGCTTCCATGTCAGAAACTGCTTATATTTGCAATTATCTGATGTTTAAAAATATAATTCTTCAACATTCTCCAGTAGTTGGCTCTGACCTTTAGGTTGCTCATTTTCTCGGTTCAATTTGAGCAGTAGATGGATTTTTCAGCTATCTTGTGCCACCTCGTGTAAGAGATGGGAAATTACACAACTTTCTGACCACTGTGACCTGATTTTGGCATTGGAGTCCTACAGATGATGTTTTTTTGCATTTTGAATACACTTTTCAGTTTATCAGCAGCTGAAGCACATTTTTAAAAAGTATTGAAAGTATTTAATATGACAATTTTTCTTAAAACGTGATTTCTTTATACTTAAGCTAGCTCTACCTTTACATTTGTAACTTTTATATGATAATGTATACAGCCCTCAGGCCATCTGCTGTGTATGAAACTAGTTCTTTATGAATATATTTTCAATATTCTAATTAATATACCTTCATAATTGTGCTTTTCCCCCTGTTATTTATACTTATTTGCTGGTTGGTGCTGCTTGCTTTTTCTTTACTGGTATTTTCCTTTCTCATGTTTTCCTCTATGCATTTTTTGCACCCTTATATCCCTTTTTAATTCCTTCCACACTTCTGCATATCAGTCACATTCACTCTAAGTTCATTTAGTATCCTACCATAAAACAAACTTTGCTGCTATTGTTGAGTCTGTTGGGCAGTAGATCAGCTGTGATCGTCAGTAACTGTCTGCATATGTGTTGCTAGAAAGTTTTAAACTTTAGCCAAAACTTTAGTTCTAAACCTAGTACCATTACAAACTGGCACGTGAAAGAGATAAATTATGTTTATCTAGTTTTTCATGTTTTACTGTGATTAAGGTCTGTATTTTGGATGCTGTATTTATTCGGGTGAAATTGTAGCTGCAAATGATGTGACGATTCGGAGGTTTGCCTCGGTACTTCGCCTACCGCTATGTTAGTGCTGACGTTACCTGTGCTCTTTTCCCTCATGCAGGAGGTTCCGCCCGTGCTTTTGACACTCATCTTGCGCCTCCTTGGGCTCCTCGGCACTGCAGCCCTGCACACACAGCTCAGCGAGCGGGTTTGACTTTTTCCGTCCCGCGGGGCGCGACCCAGGACTGGAGCTCTCGGGTCAGTCCTGCGACGAGCGGCACCGGGCAGTGGGGGAGGGCGGTACCGAGCGCAGGGCCAGCAGCTAATTGGCGTTAATCACCTCCAGCCGAGGGCTGCCGCTGCACGGCCCGACCCCGCCGCGCTCCCGGGCGGTGGCAGCCGTCCCTCAGCCACAGCTGGAGACTGACGGGAACTCGCTGCGGACTGCCGAGGGGCAGGCACTGATCTCTGCTCTGGCCAGGGACAGGGCCCGAGGAACGGCTGGGGCAGGGCTGGGCAACAGGAAAAGGCTTTCACCCGGAGGGTGGTCGCGCACAGACCTCCCGCAGGCAGTGCTCACAGCCCCGAGGCTGACAGAGTTCCAGCAGCGTTCGGACAACGACGCTGCCGGGCCCGCGAGCCGCTCTGAGGGCTCCCCCGGTCCCGCCCTCACGGCGCCCGGGCGCGGCTCGCGGCCCCGCCCGCGCTGCTCACGCATGCGCGCGAGCGTCCGCGCCGCGCGGCCGGGGCTGTCACGTGACGCGCGCGGCGGATGCGCTTCCGGGTGAGCGCGGGCGCGCAGCGCGGCCCCGAGCGCGGCCCGGCCCCGCTGCCGCCAGGTACGGCCGCGGACGGGCGGGAGCGGGGCCGGCAGCCGCGAGCCGCGAGCCGCGGCCCGGCTGCGCGGGGCGGGCGCGGGGCGAGCCGGGGCTGCGGCCCGACCGCGGGTGCGCAGGGGGCGGCGGATTCGGCGCTGTGGTCCGGCCCGGCCGGGGCTGCGGCGGTGAGCAGGGTCCCCGCGGCCCGGCAGCTCCGCGGCCCCGCTCGGCCGTGCCCGCCGCTGCCGCCGCACGGGGGAGGGCTGTGAACGCAGAAATCTCCGAGGGGAAAATCCCCTGCCCTGCCCCCTCAGGATTTCGCATAGCGCGGCTGTACAGAGCCCTGTCGCGGAAGTCAGAGTTGCTTTCTAGTGCCTTTTGTCTTAGTTCCTCCTGATTTCCTGTTACTAACGCTAAATAATGGTTGATTATTTCTGGTTGACTTGTATGCGTGGTAAGTCCTACAAAGGAATATTTGGGCAGGGTATAAATCCTTTGGCATGATTTTGAGAAGTTAGTGTTTACCTCTAAGTAAGTTTGAGTGGCGCAGAAATACAGACCCTTCTGTTGCTCTGGATGTGGAGTTTAAAGGAAGCAAGAGTTTTCAGAAGCTTTCTCTTTTAGCTGTCTGATTTCTCTGTGGTTTGATGCTGAGAGAAGGGAGTAAAAGGAGACAATTGATCTGTTATTAACCTTGCATCATCCCATTTTGCAAGTGGTAAAGTCTGGAGGTCCGTCTTCGGATTTGGGAAATTTGTCCTGGATTTATGGCTAACCTGGCCACATTCTAAAAGCCGCTGGATTTATAGAAACACATAGAAATTGCAGTGAGCTGCATGCTGTGAGTTTGTGTACCGAAGATGTGTCTGCTCCTTGCTTTAGGCTTACTGTAAACTCAAATGTGAAAATTATCTTAAAAGCATCTCTTTAATGCCTGGAATTAACTTGACACTCAGTTAATGTTTCTGTTGACACAGTGAAGTGAAATGTAGGGGGGGAAATGTAGGCTAACCTTGTTTTGAAGTTGATTTTGACTTTTTGAGATGGAAACAACTTTGTTCTGTGCCTGTCAGGTACATTGTTCAGTAAAAATGCTTGACATTGTAATTGTCCTGCAAAGTTAAATTTTGTATTTATTCTATTTTAGATGCAGGGGTGCTGATCAAGTACTAAATATAGGTGCTTGTATTGGATAGGCAGATGTGACCATAGAAATGTCTGGCTTGTAATTGTTTGTGTGCTTGCCTGAGAACTCGGAGGTGAAAACCTAAGTAATAATTTTTGCAAGCAGCCTTTAACTTCATTAATAAAATGACCTCATGCTTTCTTGTTGTCCTTCTGTCCCACCCCTGTTGCCACCCCTTTTTTTAGCTATTTGGGACAGACCCAAGTCTCTGTTTAGCTGTACTGTAAATTTTTATAAATGGCATATTTTAACAGGCTTCTTAATACTGTTGTACCTGATGTGCCAGAATCTACCAGCTAAGGCAGCTTGATATTAATGAGAGAACTTTGAAAATTGTCTATTTTAGGAAAAAAGGATTAAAATACTGGTGTTTGACCTCTGGTGCAAGCAGTGACATTCTTCAGATGCAAACTTAAGTAGGTTTAACCTGCTGTTCTGGAATGGAAATTTGTTTATTAGCTGTAGTGAAAGAGCAGTGGGTTTGAGTGATGTAATACCTTTTTGTAACACCATAACTTGCCTGTTGACATACTTAAAAATATAAAAAGCAGTGTACAGTACTAAAGTCCAGTGGCTCCAGTAGGAGAACAGAACCTCCGGCAACCCTGCATCCAGATATTCTTTGTGTTGAAGTTTCTGACCTTTAGACAACTCTCCATCTTCAATTTCTTTATAGAAAATAGAAAGTAATGAGCATTGGAGGATAAGATCAGGCTTGCTGTTCTTAGAAACCAAACCTTTTTGAGTTGGCTGTGAAGAGTGCTAGGATCAGGTACAAATTATTTGCTTTTTTTTTCTACATGACTGATAAATACTTGCATTATTAAAATTTACATTTCACAAGTTACATTTTTAGATTTACAGCTGAATTAAAATGGCTTTGGCATTTTAAAAACATCATGTCATCAGTGCCACAGCACAGGTAGAAAGACTATTCTAAACTTAGCTTTAGTTTGTATAAGCAGAAGTAGTTTCTTTTTTTTGCCTGCTAGTAAACATTTATATTAGTTGAGGTAAAATAGCTCTGAAGTCATCACTTCTCTAACTTTCTTGAAAATATTACTCTTCCTTCTTGATTTCTCATTCTTCTAGTTGACAAGTGACAGTGATTTTATAGGTGAGACTTGAAGTCAAAACATCCAAACCAGCTACTTAGTCTGTGTGGTAAGTAGGATGCTGACAACCTAAATTCAGTCTTACCTGAAGCTGAACTCCAAGCTTGCCTTGTAAGTTGCTTTCAGGTGTCCCACTTGGTACTTAGCAAATGATTGCTTTATAATCTACCTTAATGAGGAGCTGCTGTTGAGAATCCTGCAAGTAGTGTGAGGAGTGTTCCATGAAAACACCCTAAGCTTAGGTAACATCACCAGTAGCGTTTAAACTCTTGTCTTACTACAACAGGTTTATCCCAGTGTGATGAAGTAAGTGCAGGTAGAAATGCTTCTGCGCTGAAAGGCTGTCCATTTGAAATTAATAGGTGTTACTTGGTGTTCTTCAGAAGTGTGGGAAGAAAACTGTTCACGTCTTGCAGCAAAGCCCTGCTTTCAGCTGTCTGAGAACTGTATAGGGAATGCAGTGCAGGTGAGCTCAAGGGGAACATCTTACAGCCACCAGCACAGTGACAGGCTTGGAGGGGGGTGGAGGTGGTATTTGGGTGTTTTGACTGCCAATTTTTTGTCCTTCAACAGTGAAGTCATGAGTTAAGATTTTCTTTTGGGTTTATAGTCACCTGCATATTTGTATCAGCTGGTTTGTTCCATGCTGCTGGAACCAGCAGCCTTCTTCCACCACTGCCTTCTGACTGCTGAGGGCCCCTAGGGAAACTCCTTGGGCTTCATCTCAGTGTCCTGAAACAAGCACACATTCACTGTTACTGCTGATCCAAATGTGATCTTCCCTCTGAGCAAATATTTAAAATGCTCTGTTGCAGCCAGCAGGTTGGTGGCCAGGAGTATCCACACCCTGTATGCTGAGAACATCATCGGCTTGGTGAGAGGCAGGACTTGTTTCCAAGCAGTGCTTTAGTCAGGACAAACAGGGAGAGCTGGGAGGGCAGTGGCTGGGGCAATGGCTTCACACTGCTGAAGAAGGACAAGTGAGAGGTGCAGGTGCTGAATGTTTCAAACAAGGAGAGTTCATCCTTTCAGAGGAACTAGGTTCCTAACTTCCACAAGATTTATTTAAATCTTCTGGATGAGGAGGCAGGGAAATGTCAGTAAAACAGGCTTAAATTGAGATCATTAGTGCTTAATTTGTAGTACTGCAGTTTTACAAAAAGATAACTTAATTTTTCTTTACTAATCAACTTGCATAGTATAGCTTTAAGCATTGCAGGACATTTTAAAATGAGGTCAGGAGCAGAAAAAAATTGATTTGTCATGAAAGGAAAGCTGGTGCTACAGAACAGTAAGTGTAATTTGGTTTTCAGCCAGTTAAAAAAATTATATCTCTGGGTTAGTAAGCAGTATTGGTTGCATTCAAACTTTGTACTTATTGCTGTTCTTTGTTGATTGGTTCTTTGCAAAATACCATGGTTTCTTATTTTGATGTGTGTTGGTTTTCTTAATACATTCATTGATAAGTTTACCTGTTTCTGCCAATCTTTAGAGCCAACACAGCCAAGAGCTTCATCTGATTTGGACTTTTAGGTCAGCATAATGGTTTGCCATGTTCTATTATTGGGGATTCCTTGTTGCTGGTGATGGGTGAGCCTGAAAAACTACAGCTTTACTTGCACATCATAGGGTGAGTTTTCCAAAAACACTGTCTTAAATAGTTATTTTTAAAGTGTTTGTGTTGTCAGAGGTTTTTGTTTTTGTTTTTGTTTTTCTTTTTAAATGGCTTATAGTTGAGATCTGACCATCTGGACTTTTTCTCAAAATATACACTTATTAATTATTGCCTATAGAATCTACAGACAATTCAGGTTTCTTACATTTTGGAGTGAACTGGTGTAATCATAAATGATAGAACAAATTGCTCAAGGCCTTAATTTTAACTGAGGGATTGATCCTCCTTGACTGCATGAAATCCCTTCCAACCTAAATTATTGCATGATAAACCATTCCACAAGGAGTTTTGTATGGGAAAAAAAAAGTAAAATGCAAACAAACAAAAAACTTTTCCTTGTATTGTTTTCTTTTTATTCTGCATCATACCTCAACTTGATGATAAGTTAAAGGATGTGTTGCAGGTATGGGAATTGTCACAGTATTGAACTAACACCTTCTGTTATATTCCTGCAGCTCCTCTTTAGCCCATTGTGCTGAAGCCAAGGGGTTCTGCCTGATCAGGAGTCTCTGCTAGCAATTTAAGTGAGCTGGAGAATGGAAGGAGTTGAGTTTAAGGAAGAGTGGCAAGATGAAGATTTCCCAAGGTTTTGAATTATTTTTTAAAGTAATTTGGATCAAACACATAACATCAGCAATAAGCTACCTCTTGGTCTTCCTGGTGAACTAATACTCAGTAATAATCTTGAAGTAATTTCCATTAATATACTTGTTTTGGAAAGGTTTTATGGCATATTTCTTCAGGATTGCCACCAATATTTCTGAAATGTAGATTTGTAAACTTGGCTTTATTTATTTCCTGTGATAATATTTTGCAACTACATTGTTTGCATATTACTCCCAGTGCCTGAAGGCCCAAATATTTCATTAAGTACAATTTCTGAGGAAAGTCTTTAAAAGTCAATGTTGCTACTGAAGCCTGGGACTACAAAAAGTTAAATCGGCTTCAGATGCATTCTATGATAACATGACTAAGATATTTGTGTAATTTATTTTGAGTCAAATTTTGTCAAGCAAGAATATGACAAGTTTTCTTAAGGATGACACACCGGTTGTAGTCAGTGTTTTGGTATTTGTCACAGGATGGGATGGTCACTTGAATGCTGTAAAGGAATTTTCTGCTGCTTTGGTGTTTGTTAACTGAAAGTTTGAACTTAGGCTGTAAGTAAAGTTAATTCAGTACTAACTTTACAGTGGGTTTTTCTAGTAATATGTCAGTCTTAATATATGACATTACAAAAGAGGTCAGAGCAGGTTTTTAACGATAATTTCTTTGTGTCCCAGGCCCCTGCCGGAGGATGATCCTGTTGAGTCTGAGGCATCGGCTGCAGCTGGAACAGAAAGTGAAGCTGGTACGTAAATGCCTGCTTTAAAGCTTCTTGGTTTGGGGGGATTTTTTTGCTTGTTTTGTTTTGGGGGTTTTGGGTTTTGTTGGGTTTTTTTTTTTTGTTTCATTGGTTGGAGTTTTGGAGGTTTTTACATTTAATTTTTTTTTTTTATTTTGTCCGTCTGCTTTACTTGTGGCCTTTCCAGTGCTGGATTGGTAATCTGATTTTATTCCTTGCTTTCAACTCCTGTCTAAATCATGCCAATATTTGCCTTGTACCTTTAAGCATTCTGTCTATTCACAGAACAGATTCTTTAATTTTATGTCCTCACTGTTGTCTGTAAGTATTTTTTTTTTTTAGCTTGTATATTATTTTCTATTTTATCAAAGATGGTTATGTCATCACTGAAGCCTAACAAAAGCAAGCGATAGAGACATGAATCTGTTGTATTACTTGCCAGATTTATTCAGTGTAATATCTGGAGCAGCTCCTGGGACACTTGGATGAAGCAGGCAGGGGGTGGTAGTGTCTACCACCCTGCTCAGACTCTGTGTGTGCAAAAACTTGAGAACTTTTAGCTGCTGTTCTTTCCATCCCCTATTAAAGTCTTACTCCAAAGAAAGTTTAAATTATGGGCAATTATTTATAATGCATTATGAGAAAGGACTGAGCTCTTCTGTCTTGGTAATATGCTTATCTCACCTTGCTTTAGCTTTGAAAAGAAATAATTTGCTTTCTTTAGATACAGAGGGCAATGGAACCAAATTGAGGAAGAAACTAATGGCTTCAGATATTAGCTTGACTTTGGATCCCAGTGGGGAATCTGTTTTGTCTGATGACTTGGATGAGAGTGGAGAGATTGATTTGGATAATTTAGATACTCCTTCAGAAAACAGCAATGAATTTGAATGGGAAGGTGAGTATTTTGGTTCTTTTGTTTGATACTGTAAAATATTTTCTTATGTGCAGGTCAACTGTTTCTCTAGTAAGAAATAGCTATGATTCACTAGTACAAGAGGAGAGATACAAAGGGAGTGATTACATTAGGAATTAGAAATACATGCAATGACTTTTTAAAGAGCAAATCAGATCTCATCTGATTAGTAAACAGGCGAACAGTTACTAGCTGTAACTACAGCTAAACTTGGGTGAAGATCATGTACATATGCATCTAGAAGACTTGGTATTTTACGTGTTTTAGAAATGAGTTTTAAATTGAGGGAGCCAAACAATGGGATTTAGATTAGCTACTCAGAAACTGCTGAACTGCAATTTAAGGGGGATTTAAATAATAACTTAGTATTTTTAAAATACTAAGTAATACCCGATCTTAAATCTTCTCTGGTAAGAATGACAAAAGCTCAGTAGCCTTAGAGTGTGCATATTTGCATACTAACTAGAGTCAGTAGAAGAGCCTCTATTTTATGTCAAGGAATTCTGGAATGACTTCATAGGAATTTAAAGTAGTCATAGCCACGCTAGTAATGATCTCAGTTTTATTATTAATATCTTGAAGTTTTAAGACATTAATAGGTGATATATCTTACAGGCAAAACAGTGCTATTGTAATACATTTTATTTGAGATAAACATTTTGTATAGGACTTAAAGCACAATTTTTAAACTTGGGGTTTAATGATGTCTTAGGGCCCTCTTTTTGGAAGCCAAGAACAGTTGTGTTGGGCAAATTGTTGGAGTCTCTAACATCTGTAAATTTCATGGTTTAAGAATGTCTCTAATAAGTAAACTTGTAAACTCAATTATTCTCATTCTGAAAAGAAAATAATTTAAATTCCTGAATAAACAGGAAATTCTCTTTTCACTTTTATGTTTGAAACACTACCTGTGGAGAAAGAAACGCTCTTTAGAATAAGGGGTTGGCTTTGGTTTTTAAATAGCTATAGGCATATTGCAGTGGAAGTTTTCTTAACAGAGACTGTGTGTTTAAATTTGTAAAAGGGTTTTCACTGTTTTAATGAAGAAGAATTGGTGTTTAGGGTTACTTTTGCAGTGATGTAAAGGAATTGTTCCGGATGTTTGTGTCTTGTTTTTAAAAGTGGCTGAAAAGGGTTTCTGTCTTTTCTTCCTTTAATGCTGCTGCCTTCATTTTCCTGGAAGGATAGTTTCAATTAACAGCTTTGTTTCGGGAGCAGACAACTAACTTGCAGTAGGTTTTTCTCGCTTTGGGTAAGGTTCATGCAACAAAGTCAAGAATCATAATTTTATTGGAGCAAATTGTCTTACAGATTCCTCTCAGCACAAATTTCATATATTTTGATTGCACATGTGAATTAGATTTAATTTCCAATAGATTTTTCTGCATGTCTGCTTGCAAGGTACCTCAATGTTTTAAATCATGCTTCATGTAAATCTGTGATCAATCTCTGTAATTCTCATCGGAGTTAACCACTTTGCCTATTTTGGTGAAATTCATTGAGGTCTGTGTTATGAAAGCCTACATTTAATTAGGCTTCTCCACAAATGGAAAATTTTCACATACTTGTAACAGAGAAAATTACAGTCAACAGAAAACTGCCAACATGAGTATGTTAATAAAATATCCATGACATCAGCTGGTGTGTCTGGCTGGCTGAAGAATACCAAATTAGATTAGATAGCAAAGTGGTTAACTTGTGTTGTGGCTGATTGTCACTATGCATGGTATTCATAATGGGTCTTCAACATGTTCTCATTTTGGCAGATGATCTTCCAAAACCAAAAACTACTGATGTCATTAGGAAGGGCTCACTGGCTGAGTACGCTGTGGCAGAGGAGAAGGATGACGGCCGCCGCTGGCGCATGTTTCGGATCGGAGAACAGGACCACAGGGTGGACATGAAGGCAATTGAACCGTACAAAAAAGTTATCAGCCATGGTGGTAAGGATTGGTGACATGCTGTGGGGAACTGCTGAGCAACTCCTTTATGGGCTGAGATGGGGAGGCAGAGGAAGAGCTGTGGGCATAAAGACTTCTGGTAATTCATTTGTTGCAGTGTTAAGACATGGTTGATAAAATATTTTTTTCTCTATTAAATTAAAGTTCCAAAATGTACACATGGTCACATGTACTAAAATTACACCTATGTAATAAGATATATTTACTCTATTCTACAGTGTCACTGCTACCTAATTTTTTGGTTTCTAGACTATTGATGTTTTCTATAACTGTATGAATGTGTCCATATGGATGTGTGTGCATGCCTGTAAGGTAAATAATGAAAAAGCTTACTGAATGTACTTGACTTGTGTAAATGTAGTCAGTGTATTGTCACCTTTGTCACTACTGCTGATTATTTAATTTTAGGTTATTATGGTGATGGATTAAATGCCATTGTTGTGTTTGCTGTTTGCTTCATGCCTGAGAGCAGCCAGCCTAACTACAGATACCTAATGGACAATCTGTTTAAGTAAGTCATCATCTGCCTTTCTTTTTTGTTATGTTTAATATATTTGAGCACTACTAGGAGTTAACTTCAATATCTGCAAGCTTATCTGAAATTTTCTTTGCTTTCTCTCCAGGTATGTAATTGGCACTTTAGAACTGTTAGTAGCAGAGAACTATATGATAGTTTACCTGAATGGTGCAACAACACGGAGAAAAATGCCAAGTTTAGGCTGGCTTAGGAAATGTTACCAGCAAATTGATAGAAGGTAAGAAGCTCTGCAATATTTCCTTACAATATTCACACATTCTGAGATAGACATATTTAGGAAAAGCTACTGTTTAATGTGGTCTCTTCTGGTTAAGATTTGATGAAGGAAATTGGTGTATTGAAAACATCTTCCTGAGCTAGGCAGTGTGGGATGATGCTACAAACATGCCTGGGTAGTGTTGTGTGGTGGATTTTTTTGGTTGGCTGGGGGTTTTGTGTATGGTTTTGTTGCTGTTGCTCTCAGGGTGTTTAGTGAAAATAGTACTCTTAGAATACTGAATATTGTTATCCCGTAGAACATCCTTACAACTTAATATATTAATATAAGGTTAGTAAGAGAGGTCCTTTGTCAACCACTTCATCATTAGTTCTGTAAAAAGATTCAAAGAAGCTTCTCCTTGGCGTATTATTTCCTTGTCAAATTGATACTGAATCTTTAGTTTTTATTTTACAGTTGTGTAGTATTTTTTCCTCTGATGGAGGTTGAATTCTAATAATGGGATGTCAGAATACCGTGTTTATGTGACAGTTGTGCTTCTAAAAACATACTACTTACATATTCCAAAACCTCTGATCATGCTGCCTTTTTGTTCTAGTAATTATCCATTGTTTAAATCCTTCAGGTTAAGGAAAAATCTGAAATCGTTAATCATAGTTCATCCTTCCTGGTTCATCAGAACTCTCCTGGCCATCACAAAACCTTTTATTAGGTAATGCCCTGAAAACTTCTTAATAATTCTGACAACTGTTTGCTTTGAACTTAAAAGACTGCTTTAATATTGACCTAGAGTTGTAACTGTACCCTGCATTTGTTCTTCCACAGCTCAAAATTCAGCCAAAAAATTAGGTATGTCTTTACCCTGGCAGAACTAGCTGAACTCATCCCCATGGAATACGTTGGCATCCCAGAATGCATAAAACAGTACGTGTTATTATTCCAACATCTTCTACATTGATCATGGTTTAGGACTGGTAGATGTTGTAATCAGTGTTTGGTTTGAATGTAACACTTGGCACACAATGACTTGAATTAGATTACTGCTCTCTCTGGGGAGTGTCCATGTGTGACCTCATTGCTAAAGGCAGTTTGGAATGGAAATGTGTAGTCATTTTCAGGGTGGAGCTTTGTGCCATTATGTGTGAATTCAGCCTTCTAGAGAAGGTCTCATTGCAGTTGTTCTGCACCTTAGTGTGTATATCACTCATTGCTTGTGAGTGGGAAATTGTAGGCATGTGGATACTGAAGTTATTTATAATGTCTTCTAAAGCATTTTCAGTAAAATGTGGAACAACTTAAGTGCTGAAATATTACTTGGATTGGGTTTTCATTTGAAGAAAGGTGATGGAAAAATGCTGAATCTCTATCCACTACAGTTCTAAACTACTTTGGTAAAGAAATGAAGACAGAATTAGCGTAATTTTTCTTCCTTCCCATCCAAATAAAAATGGCCATTTTAACATCAGCACAATTCTGCTGTCAAAGATTATGACCCTTTTGTCAAAAGCATTTGTGAATGCAGTAATAGAGTAGAAACTATAAACTTGGGTGTTAAGAAAACCAGATGAAAACACTAACACAATCCTGATGACAGCCTATTAGAGGGTATGACACACAAACCCTGTCTTGTCTGCATTGTGATATGTGAGACAAACTGGGGGAAGGTGGCCCAGTGTCATGAGGGCACATCCATGCTGGAAAAGCCTCGTGCCCCTGCAGATGGTTGTTTTTTTTCAGTAGACATCTAGCTGCTTGTCAGTTCCACAGTTTAACTCTGTAAGACAGAAAAACAGTTTTCATGGGGTGGGAGTGAAACACATGACAAAGCTGAGGCAGCCTTGTGCTGTTTTTAGACTTTTTTTGACTGGGGTTTTATATGAGGGTGTTACGAATATTCAGACTGTCATTCTGAGTTTTAAAAGATTTCTCTCTCTATTGATGAACCTTTTAACTGTTCTGCACAGTCTGGACATGGTTAACTTAAAGAGTTCATTCTCAGATTTCTGTGGAGGATTGTATCTGGCTTCAAACTGTTAGGGATACAGACTTTAAATTCTAGTGATGAATGCTAACTCTGTACAAGAGGTTATATTGAATTCATTTGTTATGTCATAGTAACTAAATCTTAATGGGTTTTTTTAGTGCTAATAGAGGTTGGAGGTACAGTGTAGTTTTTTTTCATAATTATATCAGTTTCAAAATTTGGTAAGTTTCTGAAAATTCTATTGATACTAATACTGGTTTGCAGCTTCTGTTGATTTTGACCTTCATATGTTACATTTACTGAAACAAAACTTTTCCTCATCAAGGTATGAAGAAGAAAAGTTTAGAAAGAAACAGAAAAGGTATATTCATCTTTTGATTAGGGTTGCATCTAGATAAGACAATTTGCACTGCAACTAACTCCCAGTTGATTGGCTTGCATAAAGGAATAAGCATTTGTAAATATAAACATGCACTAGTGCCCAAGTGTTTATGCATGACAGCAACTATGCTGTACTTGCAGGCAGTATGGAATCTGTAAGAACTCACCCTGGGTGTTCAGGCAGCTATTTGCAAATAGTTTCTATTACACTTTTATGTGAGATGCTCACTTTTAAGGGGATACATGGGTTCTTAACTTGAAGTCTTTAAGAGGCAAAAGTAGTGCTTCTGTATGAACCCATTAAAGCAATGTCATTGTTTCTAACAGGAATTGATCTCATCTACAGGAGATGAGCTGTATTTAGGTGCTAAGCTGTAGCATTAGCAGAGATGCAACTCCGTAAGAAGTTCTAATATTGAATCTTGTATTTTTGGTATTTGCTACCTTTTTAGTTATTAACTTGCAGAGATGCAATCTAAATTAGTATTTTAGTGCTGTTTGTATTTGCAGTGCCTATGTTCCTTCCTAATAAATACTGGATTTCCATTTTGTTAATTTCCAGTCTCCTGCTAACTATTCAAGCTATTCCACAGCTGATAAATTTTTGAATGGATATGTTATTTTTTCACTTACTAACAAATAGACTGAAAGATTTTGCTACTAACTTTGCAGTTTTTTTAATCACTTTTCCTTTGTGTGCCTAACTGTTAAGGTTTATTGTCTAAATTGGGTAGAGGAACACTGAGATGGAAGTAAAAGGAATCTTAATTATTTCTGGAAACTCACATGTAAATCTAGTGATGTGTTGAGCATTCTACAGGAATTATTCCAATTAAGGGATAATGTAAAAAATCTCTAGTAGAACAAGCACTTTTTAGTGTCCTGTTGGTAATTTCACCTATACTACTCTCACTCTTGTAAAAAAGTAATATGTTCTTCAGTGAAAATTAAGTCTAGAGATCACAGGAAGAGTTGGATACTGAGCCTTCAGTCAGGTAGAAAACAGTTCATTTTTATGGATTTGTGGCCCAAAGGAGCTGTCAGTGTTTCTATCATTTTGATAAACTGGCTGGTTATAGTTTGAGAAACTGGACAAATATGTTAAACAGATTATTAGACGTAGTATCTCACTTTAGAACTTCTGTTGGTTTTAAAATTAATTTACCTCCATGCACAACCTATTTGCCAGAAGATGTTACCAAGACTGTAGCTTGTTTTTACTGTAAAGAGGAAAAGTACATTTTGTGCAGGGCTTCCAATCATCTCCTTGTTTCTGCAAAGCAGCATTTTGTTTGCTGGTCCCAAGGCAGATAGTAAAAAATAAGGTACAAAATCAAACCCACCTTTATCAGCATGATGGTGAATTCTTCCAGGGTAATTGCAAGAGTCTTAGATGTTAATAGAAAAGATACTGCAGTTACGGAGCCTCTTCACTTTTGTTAATTCAACTAGTGCTGTTACCTTTAATGTTACAGTAATTAAGCCAAGAAGGTAATTCAGTGCTTATGAATTAATCAGAGTGGTAGAGCTTGCCAGTACTGTCATGTTACCTGTACTGTATTCCTGCTTGCATTTATTACTATGAGCACAGGCCATGCTTTTTTCTTCTGTAGTGAAACTTCATTTGCATTTTTAAAATGTTTCCTCTCACGTGCTGTAGTTACTTAAATGGTTTCCTAACAATTTTGATTAATTTCTAGGGGGTGGTAGGAAAATAGATATTGAAAAAAACCCAAACTACATTAAATAAAAACCTTAATTTAATATTTGTTTACTAAAACGTTTCCCATGTAAAAGCTTTGTGTTTTCCTGTTAATAGTTTTTTTTAATACTATGAGCTATCAAACTATGTTAACACAGTTTAATTTTACTACTTTCTTTGCTAAGCAGAGTTGACCAAGAGCTGAATGGGAAACAAGAGCAGAAAAGTGAACAGTAAGTTTGGAGTCCAAACAAGACTGAAGAATACACAGATGGAACGATGCTGTTTGTGCTCCATTACAGTGCATTCTCTGTGTGTATGTATTATATAATCTGTTGCAAAAGGTGCTTTGGACTAGCACACAATGAACTGCTTACTGCTGTACTGGTTTGTCTTGACTTTAATTGCAGTTTTTGTAATCATTTTATATTGCTAAATGGCAAAGAACCCTATGTTTTCAGAGGATGTTCTTGCAGCTGTTTATCTAAATGATGCATGTTCTTCAGTAAAATATTTATGTACCTAAATGTTAAAGGAAAGAGATAATATATATATTTTTATGACTGAACAATATATTGTGTGTACCTGCTGAAGGAATTCATTTGCAGGTAGACAAGGCCATAAGTTACTTGTTGTTATTGTATAAATTTGTTTTGCTGTAAATGGTCGAGTGCATTTCTTTGTTGTCATGAAAACTTGTTTGGATATTAACAATCACATTAACTTGGCTTTCACAAATACAGAGATCCTTATTTTTGTTCATTTACCATACACAAGCTCACTCCTTTGCCTCACCAGAGTGAGCTTCACCTTTGATGTCTTTCAGTCCATAATTCAGGATGCAGAACTGCAGTTCTGTGGGTGGCAGTTTGTTGAAGCCTAAGCCACAAAAGCTGAACTGTCTGACTGGTAAGATACCAGAACTTTTTTGGTTGAAGTTGTGAATTTAGATTCTGCTTCAGTATGTCAAGATTGTCTCAGCGAGCAGTAGGAAATAAGTTTACTGCAGTTCTTTGTGGATGAATTTTGATTGTTTCTGGTGGGAACTCTGGTCATGCTCAGTAGAACTTGGGAGCTACACAAGTATTCTAACCACAATACCATTTTTTAGGCAGAAATATGAGAAGTCTTATGCTACCTGTGTCATTCTTGTAGATAAAACATCCATTTCTAAAGCTGTTAGGCACATGATACCAGCACTAATTTGTCTTTTAAGAAATGTTTTAAAGGTTGGGGTGTTTTCACTCCCCACAGTGGTGGTAAATCTGTGTCTGCAACAGGTCTTCTTGGACAAAACTAGTGTGTGTAGGTTTACTGGGACAACAGTAATGCACTGGTTGATACATTGTAAAAGTTTGTAACATCTTCTGATAAACATTGCATTTTCCATGTAAGGGCAGGTGTATGCAAATAAATTCAGGAGTTGAGCAATATAGTATGTTGTAGCAAGTATATTAAATCTTTGCTTTTGGTGTTTATTGTGCTCACAATTTTGTCTTAATGCTAAAAAATATCACTTTTTAATTATATTTAATGTTACTCAGTTACTTTATTTTAAAAAAAGTTATGTTCAATCAGATTATTACATGACATTGATAGACAGCAGTTGCGAGACATTCGCTGGACAAGACTTACCAAGTAACAGTTAATCCACTGTCTCCAGTGATATCTGCAGAGACTCTGAGAGCATATGGGTGTCAGGTGCATCTCTCTGGTGGTTTACTTAAATCTGCAGTTCAGATACTTTCTTCTCAAGATCTAAGTCCTTTTGTTGCAGTAGTTTTTATATCAGTTTCAAGGAGATTGATAGGCAGGATTTATTCACACAACAGACAATACCAATGCAAGTTATCTTGCATCCACTCCATCAGGTTCGGATCTTGCTCTGAAAGCAGAAGACAAATGCACTTTCTTTGGGGCTGTCTTATCTCCTGCTTCAGTTTTGATGTTGACACAGGTTAATGTAAAGTTCAAGTCAGTACATGGAGCACATGCAGCCTGTTTACTTCTGATACTTTTGTGGTGTGATCTGTGTGACCATGCAAATCTGATTTTTACTGGGTTGGCATGTGTCCTAAGCTAAACAGGAAGCATTCTGGTAATCTCATTTCCATTTTTTCCTAATTGATAAAAGGATTAGTCTCAGTAAAATAATATTCTTTGTTGGAGGTATTGTAGTTCTGTGTCATGTGGCTTCCTGTGTGTATAGTGCAGTACAGAGTAGCTGTTCCTCTGTATATGCCATTTACCGAATGATGGGATTGTTATTGTGTTTCCTGGTAGCCAAGGATTCTACAGTTTCATGCTGCAGTAGTATGATTTCTGTTGGAAATGTGTATGTGTTTATAAATGGTTTATTTCTCTAGTATAAGATGTTGTGAATGAGTATACAGCACAGCAGTTGTTCTGTCTCTAGAGATATGCAGCTTGAGAAAGAAGTGTACTAAAGAATTATTCCCCTCTGCCTTCCTGCAGCTCATCATTTAGTGGTGAGGTGGATGTTTACAAAAAGCAAAGTGGTCCCAAAGCTATGGATGTTTTGTCAAACTTAACTTTTTTTAAATCTATAATATAATGTAATATACTTTAATATTTAAAAACCTGAAAAGTTGGAATGTCATACTTAAATAAAAATTATTTTAAAACTTGAATGACTTTGTGGTAAGGTACAGTATTGGAGGGAATTGACTTTTCAATGGGACTTCCTTCTAAAAGTAAGAGTAATTTTGCTAGAATTTGGTGACCCCTATCAAGAAAAAATTTCATGAGTCACTGATTTACCTCTGATTTGGAGGTCTCATTGCTTTGTATATATTTATATATGTAGTAATAAGTCATTACCTATCTCATTATTGCTGTGCACAGATGGAATAGAGATGTCTGGGCCAGTGGCCTCTCAGTGTGACATTTCCTAATGATTTCTGCAACAGGGTAAATTCAGAAGTGGCAAAGAAATTCTGGAGAAAGTGTCATTAAAAATTGATGTGAGTAGACTCTGGATTTGCTTGGGTGTTCTTGATCTGTGTAATGTGGCAGAGCCTTCTTCTGTTGGAGGGTAATGGGAAAGGATTTAGTGCTGAAGCAGACTGAAGAACTTTTATTCCAAAAAGGGTAGATAGAACTAGTTAGAATAATATGTAACCTTCTTCACAGCAACACAGTTTGGCATATTTTTTTCCTTTACCCTCGGTAAACAAGTGAAGAACAGCTCCAGTTGCTGTGAGGAACATGGTACTGAGAGACAGCAGCTACCCTCCAAATTGCAGTCCACTAGGATATTAGAGCCTGTATCCATTTCAGCAACTTTGTTGCATCATGCCCTAAATGCTCTAATGACTGTTTAAAACAGTTTCAGCAGTTAATTGTGTCATACTTCAAGGTCAGATTACATGTGGTAGGAATGGAATCTTTTATGAAGCACCTCCAAGTGTATTATGGACAGGAGAAGGTGTCATTGGTGCCTGGTCATGTCAGCTTCACTGATGCTGTCTGCTGAAATGTCTGTACTTAACTGAAAAATATTGAACGATGCCATGAATAGGCACTTTATTAACTAAATCAGTCACAAGGTAGAAAGTTTCTTGGTTAAATTTTACACTGAAAGAAACACACTTTTTTGTCAGTGTACCATACAGATTTATACAGTATTCAGTGTCTAGAAAGATGGTTTAAATTCATGTCTTCTCAAAAGCTGTTATCTGTGGAAATGACTTAAATTCTCAAGTCATTCCAGTCTCCCTCAGAAACCTCGTATGAGGAATGGAGAGGAGATCTTGCAGTCAAAATTCTTACTCAGTCCTTGTGGATGCAGGTCATTCCGAAGAAGATTTGCTTTACTGACTGCTTGTCAGAGACACTTGAAACAAGTGCTTTAATTATACTTTTTAAGGACACCTTTTAGTCAGAGGAACACTCTGAAATGTAAGGAATATTTAAATATTCATATTCTGAAAGACATCTTGCAGCTTTCCTAGCTTTGAAATTCTATGTTGAACTACACTGTTTCTTTTATCACATCTCATTACCCATATTAAACTAACAGGAAAAAAAGAGCATTTGTGAGGAGATGCAGTCATGTTACTTTTTCATCATTCCCTTCAAGCATGACTGAGATCAATGAAATTAAAGCCATTCTTTTGCTCAACTAGATTTTTTTTCAGTTTTGCAATTTGAACTGCCCAGATTACTCTGATTTACATTATTTTTTTTAGTATTGAAAGTGATCTGAAGAGAAGCTCTCTCTGCTTCCCGAAAGTCCTTATCTTACCATGTTCCTTACTCTTGCTTGCTCAGCTGCTAGTTAATACTGGTAAGATTGAATTCCAAGTTAAAAATTACAAATATAAATACACATGGAGGACAGATGCTTAGTTTACCAGTGGCTCCGCAGTTCTGCAATGTTTCTTTTCATTAACAAAACATTTTTATCAACAAGAAAGACCTGAGCAGTAAGGTGTTCTAATGGTTGAATGGTACATTGAAGGGTTAAGATGGAATGATTACGCTCTCAGTTACCGTCTGTAAACTTTATTGTGGGTGATAATGGGAAACGTGCAGGGTTTAACAAAGTGAAGCTGTAGTAATCATGCAAAAGCACGGGTTGTGAGTCATGGGTAATAGAACTGGCTTAATTGGGCTAGTAACACTCTTCAGAGATGTGACTACTTTCCTTTGTCCCTTTAATAGAAAAAATCTAAGTAGAAGACTCTTCACCTACCTCTTAAGACTACTATGATCCTTTCTTTTGACTGCGCCGCAGGGTGTCGCGGGGTGCTGTGCCAAGCTCGGGTGTGAATGCGCTGGCGGTCGCTGCTCTCGGCCGCGTGTGCCGCGCCGGCCCCGCCCGTTCCGCTTCCGCGCCAGCCGCGCGGGGCCGCGCTTCCGGCCGGGCGGGGCCGCGCTTCCGGCCGGGCGGGGCCGCGCTTCCGGCCGCGCGCGGTGAGGCCATGGCGGCGGGGCCGGCGGGCCCGGGGCGGCTTCCCGGGGGCGGCGTGGGGCCGGGGCCGGGGCCGGGTGGGGCTTGGCGGGGCCCGGCTCCGCCCGGGTGGCCCCGCAGCCGGGCCGCGCTGAGCGGCCCCGGCGGCGGTGCGGGCGCTGGTGCGGGCGCTGGTGCGGGCCGTGCGCGCCCCGCGGGCTCGGGCCTGCAGCGTTCATTGTTGCCTTTGTTTGTTTCCAATGAGAGCGAGGACAGCACAGGGCGCAGCCGCGGGTGAGCAGGACGTGTCCAGCCCTCGCAGCGAACCATGGCGTACCAGCTCTATAGGAACACCACGCTGGGGAACAGCCTGCAGGAGAGTCTGGATGAGCTCATACAGGTGGGGGGCTTGCGGTCTGGGTGAGTAGCTTAATAAAGACAGAAGCTCTTATCCAAACGGTTTTGTTGTTCCTGTGTCTGGGTACTTATGGCGAAGGTTTGGGAAACTTCCTGTTTGAAATCGTAAGGGTTTGGTACGGTGATGTTTTTTTTCTTTACATTCTGAGTAAAGTGTTTTATGTAGGTGGCATAATCTCTAAGTTAACAACCAGCTTAAGCTGGAACATTACAGTCAATTTGATGTTCTTCTGGTGATTTCCAGTAAATATTTATTATGAGAGATCTTTGTGTAGTACAGGATTGAAATTAAAAATGGAAATAAATATGGGAACATGATTTTTTTTTTAGCTTGTTCTTTTAGAGATCTGCTGCATTGAACTTTGTTTTGATGTTTTTAACTTATACTGCATGTTTGAGCTTACTTTGAAACAACTCAAAGTTTGTTTTCTTTTCAACTACTTCAGTCACAGCAAATCACACCTCAGTTGGCCCTTCAGGTGCTACTTCAGTTTGATAAAGCTATAAATTCAGCACTGGCACAGCGAGTCAGGAACAGAGTCAATTTCAGGGTAAGGAAATGATATCTTAAAGTTTTACATGAGATAGAGCAACTAAGTATACATGCAACTACATGCAGAATGTAATTTAAAGCTGGGTGCTCTAAGCAAGAACTTAAGAAGGTTCATTTTGGCTCTGATAATGACTGTTTACCTGTGTATTCAGTATGCAGCTGTAAGGCTCATTACCTTGTTTTGCCAGGGATCTTTTGAATAAATGCAAAAATCAGATGATGAAAACAGGGAAGAGGGAAATGCTTTTTTGGTTGATAACATTGCCATCCTCAGTGTCTTGCAGATGAGGAGGGAGCCTTCTGCTTCTCGCAGCTGTCCCTAGCAGAAGTGAGATGAGGCCAGATTTTCAGCCACATGACCAATGTGAAGAGAGAGTAGAGAGTTTTAGATCCACCCTTTCACTGGATCATTTTGTAGTTATTTTCTGTAGGTATCGTAGAAAAGTAAGTTGGGGGGTTGTTCCCAGTCAGCCACCCTAATTGATGTTAGATAGCCAGCAAGTTGTTAAGTGTCAACTTGAATGTAATGTTACAGAAAAAAGCACAAAACCCAGCTTCACATTAACTTTTGTTGTAATACTTCTCTACAGTGTATGTAGAACACATCATGATGTGAGTGGGTTCATGAAAGACTAGATTTTTAAACAATATAGAGATGTTAAAAATAGCATCATTTCTCTAGCACACTTAAATTGTTTTGCAGATGTAGTATGGTATAAAAAACAGTTTAGCATGTGTTTAGTGGATAAATTTTAAAAACCTTACTTGGACCTTAAGTTCTAAGTTCAAGAATGTCAATTTAAAATATGTAAAAGTGAAGGTCAGAAGTTTTCCATAGTGTCATCCTCAGTAATACATCAAATAGGAGGGATACCCCTTTATGTCACATGTCAGTTTTGTCATGATTTTTTTATTCAAATTGCCACTTTGGTTAAGCAGTCACAGAATTCACATCTTGTTATGATCACTGCTGTGTGCTGTGATCATATCTGATTTTTCTAATGGCCCAATATTTTAAGAAATGTTTTCTGCTACTGATCCTTTGTATACATTAGAAAAATTGTAAAACTTCTTTGCCTACCTGAGGAGCCTCCCCTTGGATATCCTGTAATGGCACTCCATGGTCTTGAGAATTTCAGCCACTGGAGGGCATTTAAACCCCAGTTTTCCTCAGAACTGCTTGCTTGCCAGTTTGTATGCATTCAGGTCCGCTGCTGGCCCTGTAGCATATGTGTTCTAGAAGGGACATAGTTCAGTAGATACTCGTTATATTTTCTATTGCTTTTGAGATGCATCCTGTAGAAAATGTCTCTTGTCTTTTGTAGGGGTCTCTGAACACATACAGGTTCTGTGACAATGTATGGACATTTGTACTGAATGACGTGGAATTTAGGGAGGTCACCGAACTTGTGAAAGTGGATAAAGTGAAAATTGTAGCATGTGATGGAAAAAGTAAGTATGAAATATTATATAAATAGGCTGAGACACGAGACTTGATTGTTTTTAGGAAGCTTTGACCAAATGTCTTACTAAAGCCAGGTTGACTGTATGACTTAGAAGCAGAGCTCTGTATTCCCCTTTACATCTGATGAGAGATGAAACAAAAGCCAGCTAATTGCTTCCCTGACTCATAGGCACTGAGGTAGAACCATGCTAGGGACTGCTGTGCACCTGTTGCTGGGAAATACATAATACTAGAGCAATTAGAAAGTTGAAGAAATCTTTATTTTCTGTGTGGTGAGTTTTCTAGTACTAATTTATTTTTTAGGATAGCACCATGTTTTACTGAATCTGAAGAGCTTTTCAACTGTCTGAGCAAGGAATTGTCTGAGAAAAGTGTCTAAGCAGTTATTCTCTGGATTTGATAGTTGGGGACACAAACCATGAAAAGTTTTTTGTGTGCATTTGCAAGTCATAAGACTTATTTGTTGCCTAACAGACCCTCTGTTTGTACTCTGTGAGAGTTTACAGTCCATATCTGCTTGACTGGATTACTTTTGTCCATGTGTCTTGAGATTCTTTACTGGAGAAAGTAATTCAGTGACTTTTGTGGCAAGCTGCTTTATAACTTTTAACACCATCAATGTGGCAGAGTATTGCTAAAGCCATGTGAAATGGTGCTGCTTGTTTCATCCTCAGAGAGTGATGCTAAAAGCAGGAACTGAGCATGGAAAAAGCTTTATTTAAATGCACTATAGTCCTCTGAAACAGGTTCTTCATGGCTTCCTGACCCTGGCATGCTTACAATAGTTCCTTCAAGTTGTAGTTCTAAAGAGTTGACAGAATTTATTGTTTTCTCAACTTTGGTATTAGCCAAGCATATAATCTTACTGCTTTGTTTTTGTGTGCTTATTATAGTTAGTGGAAGAAACCTAACTTTCCAAGTATTAATCATTTTCATTCCTGATAAATTGTGCAGATAAGATTTAAACAACTGGCTGACTTGAAGTTGCTATTAACACTACAACCTTTTTTTTGTTCCCACGAGAAGCTGACTTGTTGAAGGAACAGTACTCTAAACACTGGCTTGTTGTTCTCCATATTTGAGTTACATACTTTTTCCACAACTCTAAAGACAAGAAAGCAGTAATGGTTCTGTATCAAAAAGTACACTGGCATTAACTGGTGATTCTGATAAAAGGTCAGAACAGAGAATTGGTCTCAGTTGATTTAATGAAGATCATGTTCATTCTTGCATCTATTTCAAAATAAATGACAGACTACAGCCCACACTCCACCAGAGGTTATGGTGCTGGATGTGCAAAAACCTTTTTCCTTAGTAGATGATAGCCAGATGTGCTTGTGGCTGACTGCAGTAAAGTGTATTGTTACCTGTTAGAGCAAAACTTTCAGTATTTCTAATGTGTGCATGTACACAGCTCTGGAGTTTTGTGCTGCTTCTTCTCAGTGTTTCTAAGTGAAGTGAAACAGCACAAGCAGTTCATGCATGGCATTGAGAGCAGTAGAGACAATAGGGTAGGTACAGAACATGTTCTAAAATGATTGGGGAACGCTTTAGAACTTGGGGAAGGTACAAGAGAAAGTTCTTGGTTCTCTGTTTTCAGTGGAGGTGTGTATTTGTCTCACTCTCTTTTCTTTCCTAGACACTGGTTCCAATACTGCCGAATGAATAGACCTGTGGTTTGCCTGCAATATTTTCTGTTAATATGCAGCACTTTCTGGAGAGAAGCATGGAAAGGGACTGATCATACTCAATTCCTGTGATGCAGATGTGAGTTAACCCATACTAGAAAGCATCACAGAATGACAGTGGAAGAAATACCTGTAGCATTTCTTCATTTCACCTTATAGGGCATGAATATAATGTTACCCTTTTTTTAATTACAAGAGATACTGTTGTCTTTTTTGTTCAAAATAATTTCTTTAATAAACTTTTATTTAAAAACTTTTGAAAGAGTGATCATTGGAAAACTCAGTTTAAAACTAGCATTAACATACCGTATTTCCCAAAAATATTCTAAGTGTGTTTAGAGAAATGTTGCAAATGAAAAAGTTTCAGTTACAGGGTTCCAAGTGTGGTTGCACTGTCGGGTATTGCAAGAAGTGTCTGTTACAGACCGATGGAGGAGAACATCAGCAAAAGCTTAGCAGCTCTTGCTGGACAGCATGTTTGTGTGTTTATGACTGCAGTTTTCTGTCTATAAATAGCTCTGCTACGTGCCCTTTGCTGCACACTGCAGAGTGGAACAAAAAGAACAGACAAGTTGCTTTTATTTCAATAGGACACTAAGTATCTGTTGTTACCTTAAAGGATGCATATGTGTATCTGTACCATGGTCTTCTCTTGTTCTACATCACTCAATCTTCTAGGTTTAAACTTTTTTTGTTTTCTAATAACCATGTGGTAAACTGAATTTCAACCCATACAAGTATAAAAATTTGCTCTTCTGATCTCCCAGCTACTTGTAGTCTCTTCCTGTCTGTAGACAGACTTCTCCATTTTGAGTTCTCTGTAGCCTTTTGACTCTCCGAATGCAAATAATTATATCTTTTATTTTGTTCCAATTAAGTTGTGCATTAGAGTCATAGAATAGCCATGGTTGGAAGGGACCTTAAGGATGATCTCGGTTCAGTCCCCTGCCGTGGGCAGGGACACTTTCCACTATCTCAGGTTGCTCCAAGCTCTGTCCAACTTGGCCTTGAGCACTTCAGGGATGGGACAGCCACAGCTTCTCCGGGCAGCCTCTTCTACTGTCTCATCACTCTCACAGGGAAGAATTTCTTCCTATTATCTAAATCTGCCCTCTCTCAGTTTGAAGGCATTTCCTCCTTGTCCTGTCACTCCAGGCTTTAATTGTATTTCTGGGATGGTGTTTGTCCAGTTGCTGGATCTGTTCCTTCTATGGAGGTTGTTTCAGTTCATGGAAGGAGTGGGGAGCAAAGGGAAGTTAAGGCAGTCTGGTGCCAAAGTTCTTTCTGCTTTTTGTTGTTTTCCTCTCTATAACTTTCTTGCCACTTGCTATTTTTTTGGTTTGAATTTCAGCCACTCCTGCCAAGTTTGTGTGTTTAATGTACTTTGTGGTCTTGGAAGAGTGAATTTACAACTAAAAGCATCGACTGCACTTCTGCTATACTAAGCTATTTTAATATCCATTGGAAAATACGTCATTTCGCTTGCTAGAGCATCAGCACACTTGCTGCTGCCTATTTGGCTCTTCTTTGCCTGTAGTGTTCCAGACTTTTTCATTTATTTCCTTGTTGGTTTTCTTTGGAAAGATCACAATTGCTTCCACTTCTCAGCAGCAGAGAGAAAGTAAAATATAGCTTTGCGTCTTGACATAGACCTGGAATGGATGTTTCTATTTAGAAAGTAAATTAAAGTGAAGGGAAGAGTAAATACCAGTGCAGAACTGGCTGTGGATGACTGCCTGTTTAAACATGTTTCCAAGAAAAAGGATTTTGCTAATTCCATAGGTGTGTAAACCAGGATGTTATCTGATGTAAGCTGTTTGCCCAGTCAAGGATGTCAATACCTGACTTCAAGTGTTATCAGAGAGGCACAAATTTAAAGTGCAGAGCAGGAAGAATTTATGATGAATTTCCAGAAGACAAGTTTAATCAGGATCGTTATGTACCTTTGGAGGATGACTAGGCACAGTGAGGTAGGGAAGAGTTACTCAAAGCACAGACACTTGTGTTTAAGGATCTTGGCAGCTTAGGGGGTAGGATTTCAGTCAAGGTCCTACTGACCTGGGTTTGCTTTTCTGTAGTCAAAAATTTTGGGGTGGGGAGGAATGTAGAAGCATGTTACAAAGCACTTCATTTAGTAAGAGTGTACTGGGAGACATGAACTTTGCTGTAATCTAAAGGGTGGTTTTTGTTAAGATTAGCCATTATGGACTAGGAGGTAGTAATTCACAGATATATCAACATTTTGGTTTGCATCTTGTGCTAAAAGAACCTGCATTATTCAAGGAAGTGGAAAATTGTTCACAGAGAGTAGTTAACATTTAATGGTCACTGCTGTTGCAGTCAGAAGAAAAAGAACACCCTAACCCTTCTCCCTGAATCAATTTTACTCATGACTGCAGATACCTTATTGTGCTCATATTGTTCATGTTTACTTTTTGTTTCTTTAGAATTTATTACCTGTTTTCCTCCAAATTCATTTTCATTGACCCATCTCTTTATTATAGGGCATCTCAGAGATGATCATATAAAGTATCAAATACAAAGCAAGAAGGAAAAAACCTTCCTAACTAAAGCTAAAATGAACTGTTATGGACCTGTTGTGTAAGTATGTAATAAGCCTCATTGTTCTTGTAAAAATAAAGTGAAAACCAATTGGAAATGAAACATAAAGACAGGTTTAAACCAGAAAAATAAATCTGTTTTGAAGTCTCAGAATTATAGTTTCATCTGCCTCCTGTGCACTTCTTGAGAGGTAAATTTGCAGCATATTACCTCCTTAAACAACTGGTGGTTATCTATAGAGTTCAAGTTATTAGTTAATGATTGTAGACAGACGTGGTTGAAGTAGATTTTTTACTACACAAAGTTAATATTTCTGATATGATTTCCAATTGGACAACCTATGATTTTACTGATAAATTTGGGGTTTAAACTATTTTTTGAGGTGGTCCTATAAACTGGTGTGATTCTGTTACTTTGGGCTAGTCCTGCTCTATTCCAAATTCTTTTTTCAGTTCTACAACCAACTGGCAAGTTACATGATTTCTCTGTGCTCTGTTGTCAACTATCTAAGATGCCAGCTATCTGATTTCTAAGATCCTTTGAGATCTCTGGAAGGCAAAGTTCTCTATTAGAGTTGAGATGTGGTTTTTACTGCCATTTCTAATGGCAGAGACATATCACTGCTTTAATGTATGACTACACTCATAAATATGACGTTCCTAATGTCTTTGAAAGAGAATATGCTGAGAACATTCCTTTGTAAGAATCTTTTTTTCTTAGTTCACCTTAAGCATTTGGGAGTAGGCTCATTCTTTCAGAAGTTAGGTCACTCCTAAAAGAAGTGATTTGAAAATAAATTTGCACAAGATAGCCTTTGTTTTTCCATCCAAATCATCTGAGAGGAATTCTGGGTAGTAACACCATTAGAAACAGGAAATTTCCTTTGGATCAAGAAAATTGGATGTCGAGGTTTGCAAGTTGTTTGCCTCTGCAGGTAATAACATCAGAACAGTAATTTTCATCCAAAGCAATGATGTCTGAATGGGAGGGTTGCCTGGGCTGTGCTTTTAGATAGCTGCTGTCCCTCCTACCGAGTCACCAGGCTGGCACTCTGGTATGCTGGCTTCACTTGATGCCTTCATATTCTGTGGGAAAGCTTTTTCAAATCTGGATAGATGCTTAGATTCTCTGTCTTCAGGTCTAACCAGGGAGGGCAAGTGAGTAACATTAAATGAAAAAATATTTTATATTTTGACTTTGCTAAAAGGCTTACCATGGGACAGATTTGAAGTGGTAGTTTGCACCCCCAATGTAAACTCTTGTCTCTGGCTCTCCCTTTGTAACATTTTTGTGTCTGACAACAGATGAAACACTGTTATTACACTGTTTACGAGCAATACTTTGTTTCTGAGAGAAGAAACAGCTGAAGAAGTTAAACATTTACAGAGTAAAGGGGATAAAAATTACTGTTGACAAGTCTGTAAGTAGCTTGTAAGTATGTATCTTTCTCCACAGGTATATTTGCAAAATAATAGAGAGGCCCCTCATTCAATAATCTTTCGCTATTTCAAACTGGGATTCCTTCCAGCCCCCCAAACCCCTTTGTTCCTCAAGAAATAAAGTATTTAGTTTTTACAAACATCAATTTCATGGACAGATTTGGGTTTGATGCAATTTCTTAGAACTGTTAAGTTATGGGGATCTTTTTGTCCCAGGAATATGCACATTTTCCCTCCATTTTCTAAGGGAAAAAGTCTTTGCCACAGTTAGAAACTTGGTGACCCTTCTCTGCCTGTTTCAGTCCAGGAACTTGAACATATCCCAGCCCCCCACTGAACCCCTTGGCACTAGTTTGCCATTTTGAACTAATATGTATTAATTTAAAGTAAGCAAAAGAGTTCTAAGAAGCAAAATCAGGTTGGCAGCAGTGATTTGATGCAGTCTTCTATGGTGGGAGTCTTGGATTTCTTACCCTAAGTCGCCAGAGAAGTTTTGTTTGTTCTAAAAGAATGTACTAGACATGGAGATAATTTCTATTTAATGTTGAATTTGCTGCTGAAACCATTTTAAAAACTTGTATGTTACCATCAGGTTAACATAAAGCTTTAATCTCTTTAGCAAATGTCTGCTTACCTAAATTGGAAACAGCTCCCCCCAGGATCAATAATTCTATTTCCTCTTTTTGCATAAACAAATGCTCAATGATGCATTGGGTATTTATGTTTGAGAGCTTTTCTTGCCAGTACTTGGTGGTGTTGTCTGTGAAATCACTATAGCGTTTTAAAAATCACTATTTTACAACCAAGTTCACTTTAAAATGTTTAACAAAATTGCAGTGATACACCTTTCAGTTACTTCATCTTCTCATCCTATTTAAATCAATGTTTTAAAGATCCATGTGACTGCAGTCATAACTTCATCTAAACCATAGCCTGGTGTTATGGAATTGCTTCAGATGTTCTTTGTATAATGCTAATTCTCTGCTGTAGACCTTAAATTTGTAAAGGTGAGTGTTTACTTACAAGAAAGTTACTTGAATAGATTTTTTTTTAAAAAATAAAGACAACTACATTAATCTCTTAGCATTACAGGTGGTGAAAAGCTGTTGGATCCATGGAAAGTGGCTAGCTTTAATATGAGAAGGTGAGAAAAACACGTGGGTGAAATACAGAAGTTTGCAAATCTTCCTTTCAGCTACTAGAAACTTTAAAAAACAATGTGTTAGGTTGTTCATTGCCCATTACTGGATATGGCAATTACAGTACTGAAATATCACCAAAATATTTTTTTTTTTTGGGGGGGGGGGGGTAAGGGGGGGGTGAGGTGGTGGGAAGAGAGATGTAGATCTTAGGGAATGTAGGTTTGCACACCATTGTGTGCATCCCTCTGCCTGTGTTTGAGATGGAGAAGTGGGTGCACAAAGGCTTAACTTGTTTAATGCTGCCTGCTTTTCTGCCAGGAGCACAAACCATTCTCCTCGGAGGACAAAACAGAGAAGCGCTATGTATTTTATTGTCTTGGGTTTTATTGAGGGTTGGCTTTTAATGATTAACGGGTTTTTATAGAGTCAAAGTTTAAAGTGAGGCAAAAGCAGCAGCCAGATGTTCAGCTGAGCAGTCGGGTGCTCTGTGGAAAAGCCAATAAATCATTGTTTCAGCTCTGCCCCAGCCGACCCGAGGCCCCGTGACGGCCCCGCCGTCTGCAGGCGGCGGCCCGGGGTTCACCTTTGCCCGCAGGCTCAGGAAGGGACCGAACAGCGCCCCGGCCCTGCCTCCAGCGGCTCTGTGCCCGTGAGGGGCAGGACGGGCGGGACGGGCCGAGCCTCCCGCCCTTGCACACCGGCCCTTCCCTCCGTCCGTCCGTCCGTCCGTCCGACCCTCGGCGGGGCCGCAGCCCCGCGCCCGCCCGGGGGCTTCTCCTCGGGGCCGTGCTGAGGCGTGAGCCCCCCAGGGGCCCGGGGGATCCTCCCGCTGGCCCCGAGCTGCCGTCGGCCGGAGCCGCCCACGGAAGGCAGCAGGTGCTGGCCAGCCTCCGCGGCTCCCCTCAGAGCCCCCGGCCGTACAGGGCCTTGTGGCGCAGGTACTCCTCCAGACACTGGATGGCCGCATCGTCCACCTCGGGGTCGAACTTGTTGGCCAAGAGATGGTGCTGCTGCAGCATCCAGGGCACGTCGCCCACCCCGTAGATGCAGATGGAGCGCTGGTGGCGGCCGGTGCAGGGCGGGTAGGGCGCGCCCTTGGTGATATCACCCTCCAGGTACTCCCACTTGACCAGGCGGGGAAGGGCGTTCATGTCCGAGAGCTGGAACTTGTCGCTGAGGGGAGTGCCCCCCGGCACGCCCGGCATGCGGTTCAGGGTGGCCCAGACGTACTCGTCAGGGCTGTAGCTGTCCTTGGACCACTCGAGGAACTTCCGTGCTGTGGGGTTCTCGAAGACATACTGCACGAAGTCCCGTGTGACGGCGTTGTACGCGCTGCCCGTGAACATGGGGTAGCTGTGGGGCGGGGGCAGTTTCTTCTGGGCAGTGCGAGAGATGGTCTCGCCCACCTCGTGGTGGTACTCCCAGCGCTGCTGCTTGGCGGCCGAGGGCCTCTCCGACTCCACGGTGTTGTGGCCCTGCAGCACCTGCAGCACCCGGACTATCTCGGCGTTGGTCTTGATGGGGAAGTCGGTGCCGCAGGTGTTGATCAGGTAGCGCCATGGCACGGGGCTCTGCAGGAGGTCCTGCATGCAGTTGAGGTCGGCCTGCAGCCGGGACCAGGTGGCATAGACCACGCTTTCCAGGCGGCTGGCCACGAAGACGTTGGGGAAGCAGGCAGCAATGGCCCGCACGGCCTTCTGGAAGGCGGCCGGGGATTTGCTGTCTACATGGACACAGTAAACATTCTGGGGAGCGTAGATGGATCGCAGGAGCCGCTCAAACATGTCGATTTTGTGGTGAATGATAATGGAGTAGGCGATGGGGAACTCCTCCTCCTCCTGGCTGAGCGGGAACTCGATGTAGCGCCGGGTCTCCTTGAAGGCTCTGCAGTCCCTCGTAATGTTCAGGTACTCGCCGGGCGTCAGCGAAGCCCTTCTATTCTTCACTTCCAGGTTGTTGAGCTGCGCCTCTTCGATGGCCTTGTGGTCCCCGCGGACGACCCCCGAGCAGTTGATGCTGCGGCTGGGGGGGAGCTCCAGCGCCCGGTAGAGGCGGGAGCGGCCGGCGGGGTCGGGGCGCGCGGTGCCGCGCAGCGCCAGGGCGGCGGCGAGCAGCGCCAGCGGCCCGAGCAGCAGCGCCCAGCGCCGCCGCGCCGCCGGGGCCCGCTGCCGCCGCGGCATCCCCGCGCCCGCTCTGCGCTCGCCCCCCGCCTGCGCTGCCCGCAGGCAGCCCGAGCCCTGCCGCACGGAGCAGCCCGGCAGCCGGGCTGCTGCTGCCTCTGCGAGGTGGGGAAGCAGTGCTCGGGCGATCCCGGTGTGACCGCAGGTGAACAACAGTCCCCTCCCTCCCCGTGGCGTGGCTCTGTTTGGTTTTATCAACACTGGAGGTGGTTCTATATCTTCTGTGTCTGTTTAAAAGAAGATATTTCATCTTACCTCTGTCCAGCATGTAATGCAAGGAAGTTTCTCTAGAATTTAACCCTCTGTAATGCACCTTTTTGAAAGACTTTACTAGATTACTTTGGTGTCTAACCTGCTTTTCCAGTGTTCTGATTGATAGGGAGGATGTGTGCTAACGTCTTTATGAAAACTTCGGTGGGAGAAGGTGTGGCTGTTAACGTCTCTACTACAAGAAGCAAGTTTGTTACAGAGTCCAGGCAGTTTGACTCCTAAACCAGACAAGGGTCTGCACAACCTGAACTTCTGTGGTATAGGTAACGTGTCAGAGACATGTAGATATCCAGGTTTATAGTTAATAGGTAACCTAAACCCATGGTGAATCAGCTTGCTGTGTCTCTCCAGAGTTATTTGGATTATTTGGATTAGTTATGTGAGAAATACCTAACCCTGCATGAGGCCTGTAAAATTATTTTGTAGGTCCACACTGAAAAATACTTAGGGCTGGCTCTGATCTTTCTTTAGTTTTTGGCTATGTAATAAAGTATTATTAAGCAAAATTAGTGATACACTCTCTGACTACTATTTAAACAAAATTTTTCCTAGGTATACTTTCTACGTAATTTGCTGTCAAGTACAGATCTTGCAGTAAGGTACAGTATCCTCTTGTGAACCACTGTATTCCACTTTTTTCATTTGTAGTCTCATAAGGAATGTTTTTATTTGTGTCAAGTAGCAGTGGCTCTTTTCAAAAGAACTGTTCTTTTTAAAATTAGTATTTCCTTTGAACTATGACCAAAATTAAGATGAAATTACATTTCTACTTTCCTGGCTGTTCAGTGGGGTTTTTTTTGTTTGTTTGTTTGTTGGTGTGGTTTTTTTTTTAATTTTACTGTCTCTGCTGGTATTGTGATACTTACCTAAAAACCATGGCATTGTGTTTGGCTTATAGTTTTGAGATTTATAGTTTTAAAATCACCAACAAATATTTGGAAAATTTCATTATAGCTTTCTCAGTTATGTATCTTTAGACACCAGAAGTTCAGTGTTCTTATATGGAGTCTTTGGCGCACTTTCCAGAGTGGGAAAGTGAACAAAGCAAAGGTGGGAATGAGGAAGTATTGAGGTTTCTAAACAAATAAACCTCATGCAAATATAAGTATGTTGTATATGTACACTTTATCTATAAAACTTCAACATATTGAACATGGTCTTGTGCAGGTTCTGCTTTTTGAAACTGGAAACTCTCTGATTATAGACTTCCGCTTCTGTTTGCTTCCACTTAATTTCAACTGAATTATGTGTCACAGTCCTGTACTGTCTAACAGTTCAAGCTGTATCTTTACAAGCTGCTGAGATTGCATGCCCACTAGCAGAGTCTTGGGTCAGTTTGATGATAAGATAGAGGTCAAGTTCATCTTTGAAGAAACTGTTGGATGTTAATTAATTTTCTTTTCAGAGTTCTACTTCATTGCTGGTTTATGACAAATGGTTTGAAAGCACTACATGCAGTATGTCTGAAGCTGATTCAGTAAGGACATGAAAAGGTAACAGTAAAAAGCAGTAAGTAAAATATCAAACAACAATGAATTTTGTAGCATGCATACCAGTTCCTGTTATTTAACTGAGCACTGATGCTATTCACCTTACAGCTGCAGACTCATTACTCTACTCTTTCTGGACCCATGGTGCACTTTTACTGAAGTCAGAGGATTTCTGCTTTGATCCAAGACAAAATTGCTGGACTGAAGAGCATAAGTGAGTGTGGCTTAGAAAAAAGCTGAAGCAGACAATCATAATTGAGATATAGTCTATAGGATAGTATTGGTTACTTGAAATTTTACACAACAGCTGAACACTGCTCATAAAGTATAACAAGTTTCCTCAATTACATTTTGTATAATAAAGCAAAATAGGGTGGTAAGGCATTACTCACCTTATACAGATTGCTGAAGAGACAGGCAAATAAATAGGAGGATGCCGGTAAAGACGTTTAAAAAAATTTCCTTTAAACCACTCTTAAGACTGGCACTGTTTCTGTGGTGCCCAACACTGTAAGCTGGACTGCATCCTGGGGAAGAAAATCTGTTTTTTTCTTGAAAGATGTAGCACAAAGAAAACACAGTGATACTGGGGATTATAAATACATTAGCTCATGCTGTACTGTTTCTAGAAAAGAGTTACTTCATACATCATGGGAAATATAAACAAAACAGAAAACAAAACTCTTATAGACAGACAATAGAGGAGTTCAGGGCTACAGGAATATAGAACCAAAAATAATGGATTTAATTTTGGACATTTCTCACAATGAAAACCCCATTATAACTGTCTTATTGAATAGATGGTTTCTTAAGAGATAAGGGACTTCCTGAACTAGGCACAAATATTACTGAGAAAAATGTTTGTCTTTTACCCTTAAAAGCATGTTAGTTTTATTTCTTGCCTTGTTTCCAGATGTCTAAATAGTATTCGGAACTTTAGGTGTTTCTGTTCTGTGGTAGAACTTTTATCAATTTATCAATGTTCTCTGCAGTTTGAATTGTTCACAAGTAGAGAGTCTGCCACGATACACAGAAAAATGCACAGAGTGAGTCCTGACAAAGATCATGTCCAAAGCCTCTGTGTAATGGAGATTGTTGCTTTTATATCTCTCTGGCTGCCCAGAAATATTTGAATATGTTTAGACCTACAGCTGGTCTGGTTGCCTACAGGCACACAGTTTGTGGTAATTGGGAGTGGGGCTGCAGCCCAGCCTCATCCCCAGTGGGTGCAGCTGTGAGAAGCAGGTGACATGATGTTGCTCTGTAAGGACAGATGCTTGAAGCCTTCTGATATGGTGTGGTGTTATTCTGTATGGGGAATGCTTAAAGCCTTCTGGTGGGGCATGGTGTTAACTGTGTTTGGGTTGAAGCTCTGTGGAATTTGATGGGGATGCTCTGTGTTTCATGGCCATCTTGACTGTGACATATGCTATGGTGTATGCTGTGACAGCTGCCCTTGAATGTCCCACAGCTGCCTAAGAATACTTTGGTTGGGACTTTATCCAGTTGCTGAACAGGTATTGCTAAGTTCAGTAAATTTCCTTCAATGCTTGGAGGATTCACCCAGAGCATTCCTTACTTTTACACTCATAGAGTGCATTTTAAGGGAAGTCACACAAGGAATCAGTGGGGGAAAGGTGATTGTCATCTAGAGCTGTTATTGTGGGCTATTCAGCTCTGTGTGAGGTCCTTGCTATGTGCTCCCCTTGTTCTGGCTGCAATTCTGCAAAGAAACCCAAGTATTTTATAATAGTTTGAGTGCCCTGCTTTTTCTGCCATACATTCACAGCAGAAGTCAATATGAAATTACTTCTTAGTGGAAAATGCAGTTGTGGAGAGTGCAGTACCATTTTTTCCTTATTTCAGGTGATCTATTTGCTTCATATTTTCACCCTTTAAAATTCTCCTATACACTTGACGCTTCTGCTTCCTTGTACAAAGCTAGAAGAAACATTAGCTGCACGTATGCCAGGGAAAATCCTAAAGGGTTTTGCTGCTTATTATTTCATTTTTATAACTTATAACATGTTTTCATGTTTATAACATGTCTCTACAGCTTGTCTGTCTGTGATGTTTTCATACTTCTGTAAACTGTCTCTGGGGAAAGGTTAGCAATAGCAAAAAAGAAGCTTTCTGTACAGCAGGTAAACAGCTGAGGTCTACAACCACTGAGGTATTCGAGCATCCCACCTCAAGTAATCAGTGCTTCAGTATGTGGATCTGTATTCTGGAACAGTTCTGTGCTGCATCAGTGGTGCTTATGCAGCAGACAGCAATTGCATCTTTCTTATGGCACCTATTATGTGCTGGTGTGTCCAGCCCATGCAGAGGGGGCCAAAGAAGAGCTCCTATGGGTTTTGAGTAGTATTTACTGTCCAAAGACTGAAATAGTGATTTAGCTGACTGAAGTTCATGCTCCTCAGTGTGTGCAAATGAGCGTGACTGAGATTATCTTTGTGAACAAAGCTGGTTATGGTAGTGCTAGATGTCATACTGGCAAATGTATTTGCAATGCAAAGATTGGCAAATGTATTTCTACTTACTATTCTTACTAAAAAAATATACAACACAAAACCACCCAAAACAAGCCCCAAAACCCAATAGCTTCTAACCTTCTGATGTGCATTTTCTGCCTATAAAGTGATGCCATTCTCCATGGTTTTGCCACTTGTTTTAGGCAAATAGTGTGCTTTGTAGAAGTACCAAAATTTAGGTCTATAGTAAAACACCTTAATTACAAATTCAACAGCAGGAAGGGCACTAGTAGTTTAGTATTAAAAATACACTACACTGGCATGGTTCCTATCTTCATGTTATTTTCAGTCCTAGATTTGGATTAAGTATTTTTTTTCTACTTCTACTTTTTCTGTGTTTCAGTGGTGAAAGTGTTATACAACAGTAGCAATAAATCTGAGTGGGAGTGTGTGAACTGAAGCAGTCTTTCTCACTGATGGAGAGAAAAATGAGAAGTGTGTTTGTGTTTAACTTTGAATGGATAATTTAATCGTTTTTACCTGAACCTTTGAGCTGAAGTTTGCTCTGACATTGGCTAAAAATATGCAGTGTCTTAACTTCTCTTGTTGGAATAGTTCATACACCCGAGTGAGAGCATTTCAGTGATTTGCTGGTCTTTAGTTTACTTCAGTATTGTCTAATGCTGCTATTGTGAATAGCTGTTTCCAGGACATTTCACTCACCTTTTAAAAGCAATTTTGCTGTTGTCACAAGTAGCTATTAATC